CAGTGTCTCCAGTCTACAGTGTCTCCAGTCTGCAGTGTCTCCAGTCTACAGTGTCTCCAGTCTGCAGTGTCTCCAGTCTACAGTGTCTCCAGTCTGCAGTGTCTCCAGTCTGCAGTGTCTCCAGTCTGCAGTGTGTCTCCAGTCTGCAGTGTGTCTCCAGTCTGCAGTGTGTCTCCAGTCTGCAGTGTCTCCAGTCTGCAGTGTGTGTCTCCAGTCTGCAGTGTGTCTCCAGTCTGCAGTGTGCTCCAGGTGTGACATCTATACATAGAGGTGAGGTTTTCAGAGCGGCTGCAGTAACATCTGGGTGAAAATTGGACCTGAGCCAGCTGCTGACCTCCAGCTGACGGCTCAAACCGCCGCTCTCACAATAACACAACGCAGAGAGGCTCCAGGTTTGTGTGTCTGTGGTTTGTTACAGGCAGTGACCCAGTGGTGCTTATACAGAGGAGGGTGAGCCTGAGTTCAGCATGTTTGAGCGCACTGACCAGACATTCAGGGACGGTATAACACATGAGGAAATGAATTAATGAACTTACTCCAGCATTAACAGAAGCTATATTGAAGTGAATCTAATTTTAGTTTAGTTCAGTGTTTTAGTTTTGACACTTGCTGCACATATTTAACATTAAAACAATCAATCAATCAATTTTATTTATAAAGCCCAATATCACAAATCACAATTTGCCTCACAGGGCTTTACAGCATACGACATCCCTCTGTCCTTATGACCCTCACAGCGGAGATGAACTAAAACTAATTTAAAATAAAGCCCACATTTCAAAATAAAACAAAATAACTTTGAGACACCAAATACCCTGTTAGTACTTATTTAATTCCATCTATCATCATGAACTTAAGGGCATCCTGACGCCACTCACAACGTGATTACTTTTAGATTACTTAATTAATTAATTAATTTAAAGGGTTTAAGATACTGTGTCGGCTATTTTGAAAAACAAATATTTAAATATAAGTTTGTCCTTTCATTGAACAATTTTCTCTCAATTTGTCACAAATATCTGAAATCAATATACATCCATTAATTGTTTTGTATTTAATTTGTTTGGCTCCACAACATGTTGTAAAAACCAACTTAGCTTTTTGTCCCTAAAGTGATCCCATACCTTTAACATACTTTTCATCAGCTGGTAAAAGTTGCTCTACTGAAAACGTATTTAATATAATATGATGGTAAAATAAAATAAAGGCCCACTAAAGTTTTTTTAAAGGAACTTCTTGGAGCTTTAAACTTTTATACCCATTTAAATTTATTTATTTATTATGTTGTTTTTATTTGGCATTTATCTAACACAGAAAACTGAGCAAAAATATAATTTTCTAGATTTTTCTGGTTCAGACGGACAATTAAAAATAAAATCTAATGAAAAATTACAAATGAAATTGCCTTTGAGAATCATCAGTGTAAGAAAAAAAAATTAAGTTTTCTTTTTTACCTCTCTCAGTCTGTTGTGAATAGAAGTTTATTCTTAATTGACTTGGACAGACTGAATTAATTACACTTTTAAAAGGATTTGACCAAACACATCTTGTCTCAGACTTTACTGTGACCCAACGAAGTACATTTTAAGTACAGTACACTACTTAAATACAATTTGAAAATATTTGTCATTTTTGTACTTAAAGTATATTTTTACGGTAATATTTTTATGCTTTTACTTAGATCAGGTTATTAATGTGGACTTTTGAGTTTTGAACAGTTCAACCATGTTTCATGCTCATATTGTTCCATTAAAATGATTTAAGTGGAAATATCAAACATTTCATAAAAGAAACAGCAAAAATTTTACACAATATTTACAAAAAATTACAAAAATAAAATAAAATAGAATAAAAATTCTCATAGTTTTGCCAACTCTTCTAACCTGAGTATTAATCTACTACATTAGAAGTATTGTGAGTTGAGAGTTCTGCCTGTTAGGACTCAGTAATCAACTTAATTGAGACGAAGATGGACATCCTGCCTCTGTGAGTGAAATAAACCTCAGTAACATGAGTCCAATCACATGTCGTCAGAGTCACCTGGACTCACCTGAGCAGAAGAACAGGACATGTGATGAAGACACAGCATCATCAGAAAAACCCAGACCATCTTCATCCTGAACAAAACCTCCATCCTCGTCCTGATGAACCTCTCGTGTCTTTACTCAACTCTTCTGCTGCAGCTCCAAAACTAAGTTATCTCCTCTACTTCTGTGTCTTTTCGAGGGCACTTGCCAAATTTCTCCTCCACTCACTCCCACCCCTCCACCCTGTCATAGGAGGAGGAGGAGGAGGAGGAGGAGGAGGAGGGGAGCGACTCCCACATCTGGAACACACTCTCACTTTTTTGATCCATCAGCATCCCCAGAAATAGACTCTCAAATTAGAAGTCAGCTGCTGGTGGCGTCTTTTAATCTTCACCCACTCAAAGCAGCTTCGTCCTGGTGACTATTTCAGATTCACTCACCAGCTCAGGAATGTGACTCGTGCTCCAATTACAGCAGCTTTTTTTTTTTCTTTTTTCATAACCCCAAACCTGCTGTCTTGCAGGATAATGTGGTGTGGCTCTGTAATGACAGGGCAGCCATATCTGCTGATAGAGCCGCCTGGATTATCCCCCAGCAGAGAGAGAGAGATTGAGAGAGAGAGAGGGAGAGCTGCAGGAGGAAACATTAGAAAGAGACCCTGAAAGCACCCCTCATATAAAGTCATATATAAAGTATGATAATGAGTATGAACGCACACTGTAATTTCCTATAGGAATGTATTTTAAATCTTTAGAAGTTTGTGAATTGAAAGAAGCAAATAAAGTGGTGGTTTTGAATGTACTGAAAAACAAGACCTTGAATGTCACTGAAGACTCTTGAGTTTGATAAGATGTATGCAACAATATCAAAGTGTAATGGAACAAAGAACTTTCATGAAACATGCAGGTCTTTCAGTTAAACTACTTAAACAAATACTCTGTTACAAGTAAAAGTCCTGCACTGAAAATGCTCCTTCAGTGACACTATGTGAGTTTAATCAGAAAAATGTATTTAAAGTATTAAGTAAGTTTCACAATGTGACTGTTACGCTATCTTGTATGATGTCGTCAGATGATTCTGACTCATACGAAACAAGCCAGAGTTTGTTTTTCAGATTTCAGTGTGTAAGATTTGGGGAGAGTCAGTGGCGTCTAGTGGTGAGATTGCAACCAGCTGAAACTTGTCCAGGTTAGAAATTCTTCAGTGTTCATTGTTTGGGAGGTTTTTACCAGGAAGACAAACTGACCAGGTCTCATTTATACAACAGTGTGTAGGATCCATACTAAAAAATGTATGTACGGACAAAATCTGAAAATGGTGTATGCCAAAAAGTATTCGACAATTCCTACAGTCAGGCTCCACCTCACCGTCTGCGCCGCAACTTTCCTGTCTTCAAACGTTTAGAAGCATGGGTCAAAGTTTGTCCATCAAGTCTGTCTTTATACATCACAACTTTTGCGTTTATGCGTACGCAGTATTTATAAATGAGACCCCGCTGATTTAAACCAGTAAAAACACTGAATAAAGATGTTTCATGTTACAAATCAGTGTTTCTCACGGACGTGCCTCTAACCCAGCACCAGGGAGCGGCAGTAGCTCAGTCCATAGGGACTTGGCTTGGGAACCAGAGGGTCGCCGGTTCAAGTCCCCATTCGGACAAAATATATGGAGCGTGGACTGGTGGCTGGAGAGGTGCCAGTTCACCTCCTGGGCACTGTCGAGGTGCCCTTGAGCAAGGCACTGAACCCCCCAACCGCTCAGGGGGATTAATAAAGTGTACATATATATATGTGTTTGCTTGCCTTTTTTCCTCTGATAACTTGAGATCCAGATGCTCAGGAGGTTTTTAGAGGAAGATTAACACAGGTCTCTTCCTCTCCAAGACAAACAGACGTGCTGATTTAACCCAGTACAAACACTGTATAAAGCAGTTCATGTTAAAAAATCTGTGTTTTCCAGACACTGCTTGCTGCAGAAGGCCAACCACTGGGCCAACGTGAAAAAGCAAATGTCTATCTACAGCCAGTGTTTGGTTTGTCCATTTTGGGCTACTGTAGAAACACAGCGGTGCAACATGCTGATCTCCATAGATAAGGACCTGCTCCCTGTGTAGATATAAGCAGCTCATTCTGAGGTAACGAAAACATAACCATTCATATTTTCAGTTGTTTAAACACTAAAGAAAACACACTGATTACATTATATTCCATTCTGCCAGTAAATCCCCCTAAATCCTAACAATAATAATAATAATCCTTATTTATAAAGTGCTTTACGTGTCAATAATTAAAACAGACAAGACATGAAAACAAGCGTGGGTTTCCTCCAGGTGCTCCGACATGTTCTCCCTGTGTCAGCGTGGGTTTCCTCCAGGTGCTCCGACATGTTCTCCCTGTGTCAGCGTGGGTTTCCTCCAGGTGCTCTGACATGTTCTCCCTGTGTCAGCGTGGGTTTCCTCCAGGTGCTCTGACATGTTCTCCCTGTGTCAGCGTGGGTTTCCTCCAGGTGCTCTGACATGTTCTCCCTGTGTCAGCGTGGGTTTCCTCCAGGTGCTCTGACATGTTCTCCCTGTGTCAGCGTGGGTTTCCTCCAGGTGCTCTGACATGTTCTCCCTGTGTCAGCGTGGGTTTCCTCCAGGTGCTCCAGCTTCCTCCCACAGTCCAAAGACATGCAGGTTAATTGGTGACTCTAAATTGTCCGTAGGTGTGAATGTGAGTGTGAATGGTTGTCTGTCTCTATGTGTCAGTCCTGTGATAGTCTGGTGACCTGTCCAGGGTGAACCCTGCCTCTCACCCGGTGTCACCTCGGCTCCAGCCCCCCAACAGGATAAGTGGTTACAGATAAAAAAGAGACTGTCTCAGTGTTATCATCTGATTTCTGTGTCTCCATGTATCCTTGTTCAAAGAGAACTTCAACCAAACTAATTTTGAGTCGAGGAGGCACTTACCCAACAGTTTTTATATTTACCTGTAACTTTAAGATGCATCATCTTTGGAGAGATCAGGATTAAAACATGGTTTTCATAAAAGCTGATAATCACTGTGGTGGGGTGAATTTGTTTCATAACAAATGCAACATTAATAGAAATAAAAACATATAAATAGGTGCTGCAGAGCTGAGATCCTGAGTCAGTTCTTGTGTCACATTTTCCTCACAGTAGTTTAAAACAGATGATGGTTGAACATGATGCATAAAGGCTTCAGATTGATGCGTGAGATTCATCACATATTGGTGCAGTGAACCTGTCGTCCACCAGGTGGCGCTTCAGTTTTTCATTTCAACCTTGGTGCTGCATAAATACATTTCTGGCTTTTCCCAAACGTGCAGCTGGAGTTTGGATCCAAAGAAAGTCCTGTCAGAAATATTTCTTCACATGTGGCCGAGCCGCATTTAGAGAAAATGAATATTTATGTTGGTGAAGTTACTAATTACAACACGAAGCTTTGATCTGTGAAAAACCACATGAAGACAGAGAGCTGAGCTGGAAGGCTTTGTCTTTCACACAGAAACATAAACTCAGGTTTTCTTTGTCTCTCTTTGTTTGTTTGTATTGTTTTATTGTTGCTTCTGCAAAAATAGAAAACTGTGATGAACAGAAAGATTTTAGGGACGGTCTTTTATTTAGGACAGAGGGACTTTTTTTATGAACTTTGTTTATTGATTTTTTTTTTACACACAGTAGTGTTGAAGCACTTGTGAATGACAGTGTGATGTAATTGTAGTGAAGTACGAAAGAAAACAAACAAACAAACCAAAAACACAAGACTTACCTACACAGAAACAAACCATTCATCCTGGTCATATTTCACTTATGATGGTAAACAATAATCATGCCCTTACAGTCAGGGTCAGTGTTAAGATATTGATTCAAAAATAGACAATATTCAGTCAGGGATAGCTGGAAAGCTCATTTTCTTCACACAAGCAAAAAACAGCCGCCACATCTTTTAAGATTTCCTGGGAGAGCCTCTCAACGTGTGTCAGATTTTCTCAAGTTGTAAATGACTGAGAGTCTCTTTTATCCAGTTATCAAGTGTGTGAAGGCAGTGTTGGTGAATTCCGTCTCATTAGCATTAGACGTCGTCTAGACAACAGATCCATAATGGCATCAGGCTCCATGAGTGTCCCAGTGACCTCCGACAAAGTAATGAAAATCGCAGTCCAGTAATTACGCAGCCGTGTACCAGTACATGACCAAAACATATGTGCATACATGGTAGGTGTGTGATGACATATTTCACAAGAAGGGTCAATACTTTTTACTTTGTTTTAGATTCCCTTGAGCCTTCCTGAGTGAGCAGGGAAATGCATGACTCTCCCTCCACTGTAAATAATCATGTGTCACAGTTTCTGCAGATGATAAATGGTCTGATTTTGGAGATTTTTAAAGAAAACAAGTCCATGAAATGCAACCAATTAAGGCTGAGTGCTCCTCGCTTAAACCACATCTAAAAGCTTCCCCAATGCTTAAAAAATGATTTGCAGTGCCTCCACCCATCTCATAAGTAATGAACAGTCCCTTACAAAAAAACCTGTCCTGTAGTCTAATATGTGTAGTGATGGAAAAACTATTTCAACCCTTAACCAAAGTAGTACAACAGTGTAAAAATACTCCATTAAAATGTAATGTAAAGGAATATTTCACCCAGAAATCCAATCCAACTTTATTTGTAAAGCACTTTAAAACAACCACAGAGTACGTGCTGTACAGAAGAAAAAATAAAAGACAATAAATAAAAGACAAAACAGCTCGCACAACTATACAATAAAAACAAATAATAAAATACAATAAAACAAACAATAAAACAAAATAAAATCAACGTCTTACAGGGTGTCAAAGGCCAGGGAGAAGAGATGGGTTTTAAGAAGAGATTTAAAAATAGACAGAGAAGACGCCTGTCTGATGTGCAGAGGCAGATTGTTCCACGTTTTAGGAGCTGCCACAGGGAAAGCACGGTGCCCTCTGAGAAATGACAGTTACTCTGCTGTGTTACTGCGAATTCTTAAAGGTTTTGATGGTATGTCTCTGGTGAACAAAGAATCCAAACACAGCAAACGTTGTTGATTAATTAAAGTCACTGTGGACCACATGTAACAGCAGCAAGGTAATGCACCGTGTTTCAGAAGTACTGAGCGAATGACAGGATAAATGAGACCTGGATTAAACTGCTCCACTTTGTTCATGGATGTTTTGATATAGTTTAGCTGTTGATAAACGTGGTCCCCATTGACTTCAACTAATCAACAATGTTTGCTGGTTTTTGGATTCTTTTTTTTTTTTAATTGTGTACTGCGGTGATAACAGAGTGAAAACAGATACAGAGACATACAATAAACACAAAGACCAACCAAATACATCCAAACAAAATAAAACAATATAAAACAAACAAAAGTAGAGCGCAGGCTGAAAGTGATGGGCACACACACACACACACACACACACACACACATACACAGGCAGGTTTTTGGATTCTTTGTTCACTGAAGGCATGTGAGAAAAAGTGTTAGGACTTTAAGGTAACACCGCATGAATAACTGAAATATAAATGGTAATTAGTGGGTGAAATAATCCTTTA